CAGAGTCGTGTCTGAGAAGGGCGTGTTCAATTTCCGCCAACTCTACACGCTGTCCTCGAATCTTGACCTGTTGATCCATACGGCCGAGGAATTCCAGCTGCATGTCTTTGGGACGGCATCGCGCTGCATCGCCAGTCTTGAAGGCTCTCATTGTCTTGCCAGCCACGGTAATTTCCACAAAGCGGTTGTTGAGCCGGGAATCGGTATATCCAAGCGATAGTTGGTCCCCAGTCACGACGACTTCACCCAACACGCCTGGAGAGACGAGTTGTCCGCGAGGATCCATTAAGAACACACCAGAATTCTTAATGGATCGCCCGATAGGAACGTCTTTGTGGCACTCCACGCCAGAAGAGAATGAATAGAGCGTTGTGCAAATGGAATTCTCACTCGGGCCGTATATGTTGATGACGGCGGATTTGACAAGTTTGGCTGCCAGGTGAGCGTCCTTTGCAGGGAAGCGGTCTCCAAGCACATAAAGCGCGTCTAACTCGCCAAGTGCCTCTGATGCTTGGGTGAGGAGCCTTGAGAGCAAAGCCGGTGTCATGAAGGCGACTCGGATTTGTTGTTCTTTGAAAATGCTTACGAGGCCGGTTCCTTCCAGTGCAGTCATGGTGTCGATACAGACCAGAGGGTGACCATGAAGCAGAGCCGTCAACATCTCAAAGACAGATGGATCAAAGGCAAGAGACGTCATATGGGCTACGGCTCCGTAGGCTGGGCGTTGCGATAGCACGTTGACCAAGCTGCGGTGCGGAATCATGATTCCTTTAGGTGTACCTGTAGAGCCGGACGTGAAGATAACGTATGCTAAGCTAGTCGCTGTTGGCATAACGGTTTCTATAGCCTTACGAGTGTTTTTCTGGACCGATGCGGATAAGGCTTCGGAGATGGGTATAAAATCGATGTCATCCAAGCCAGACATCGCCTCGGAACCGGTTCCTAGTAGCACAATTCTGTGACCCGAGATGGTTGAAAAGATTGCCTCAAGTCGACCTTGGGGAATGGAGACGTCAAGCGGTAAGTACGCAAGGTTGGCCTTGAGGATGCCGAAGAAAGCGACGACCGTTTGCCAGGATCGCCGACCCAATACAGCAATGAGCGTTCCTGAAGGGACTCTGAGTGTCCGTAAGTACGCAGCCAGTTTGTCTGACTGTCGGTCGAGCTCCACGTAGGTCAGCTCAATGGCAGAGTCTTTGACCGCCAGTGCCTCCGGAGATATGGCCACTTGGTCCCGGAAGAGGTCGACGACGGTCGAGTCCCGCGGATACTCCCTACGCTGGATATCGAGCAGACCCAGGTCGCGGAGCTCTGACAGACCGTCTGTGATTGGAAGAGTAGTGATTGGCGTCTTTGGCTCGTTGAGACCGCGACGGAGGATCTCATAGAAGACGGAGAGAACTCCGATAACAGTCTCAGCCTCGAAAAGATCTTTTCCATATAGTACACCACCGGTCATGCTACTCTCCTCCTGGAAAAAGTGGAACTCCATATCAAACCGTGTGGTAGGTGTTAGTGGTATGAGCTCTCCCTCTACACCTTCTAAATTCAGGCGCCCAAGGTGTTTCTGTGAGTGGACAGCAAACATGAGCTGGACTAGTGGGTTGCGCGATGTGTCTCGCGATCCTGGTAATAGCGACGACACGAGCTGCTCGAACGGTACGTCTTGATTGGCAAAAGCACCCGTAGTAGTCTCACGGACCTGCTGGACTAGGCTGTCAAAGGTATCATCGTTGATAGAGACCCGGATACCCTGAGTGTTGACAAAGAAGCCAATCAAATGTTCAAGTTCTGCCCGGTTGCGGTTGGCGATGGGGATACCAATTGTCGCATCATCGACTCCAGTAAGCCTATAGTGAGCTGCGCGGAAGGCAGAGAGCAGGACGACGAATGGTGTGACTTGCTGAGCACGACAA